CCAGAGAGAGAGACCAGAGAGAGGGACCAGAGAGATAGACCAGAGAGAGAGAGACCAGAAAGAGATCAGAGAGAGACCAGAGAGAGACCAGAAAGAGAGACCAGAAAGAGATCAGAGAGAGACCCCAGAGAGAGAGAGACCAGAAAGAAACCAGAGAGACCATAAAGTCCAGAGAGAGACCATAAAGTCCAGAGAGAGACCAGAGAGAGACCAGAGATTTGGGGTCAAGGGCCAAAGTTTTTGTGTACAGCCTTTAATCATAGAAGTAGTTGTTGAGGAGGACTGCACAGATCAGAGAATCAAAGCAAATGCAATAATAACAAACACAAAGGAGCCATTGGTCCACAGGGAGAGAGACAACCTCTATAAATGTCCTGGATCATCACTTGGACCCAGTTGGACAGGCTCTAGATCCAGGACTGAGGCTGTAGACCCAGGACTGAGGCTGTAGATCCAGGACTGAGGCTGTAGATCCAGGACTGAGGCTGTAGACCCAGGACTGAGGCTGTAGACCCAGGACTGAGGCTGTAGATCCAGGACTGAGGCTGTAGACCCAGGACTGAGGCTGTAGATCCAGGACTGAGGCTGTAGATCCAGGACTGAGGCTGTAGATCTAGGACTGAGGCTGTAGATCCAGGACTGAGGCTGTAGATCCAGGACTGAGGCTGTAGATCCAGGACTGAGGCTGTAGATCCAGGACTGAGGCTGTAGATCCAGGACTGAGGCTGTAGACCCAGGACTGAGGCTGTAGACCCAGGACTGAGGCTGTAGATCCAGGACTGAGGCTGTAGATCCAGGACTGAGGCTGTAGATCCAGGACTGAGGCTGTAGACCCAGGACTGAGGCTGTAGACCCAGGACTGAGGCTGTAGATCCAGGACTGAGGCTGTAGATCCAGGACTGAGGCTGTAGACCCAGGACTGAGACTGTAGACCCAGGACTGAGGCTGTAGACCCAGGACTGAGGCTGTAGATCCAGGACTGAGGCTGTAGACCCAGGACTGAGGCTGTAGATCCAGGACTGAGGCTGTAGATCCAGGACTGAGGCTGTAGATCCAGGACTGAGGCTGTAGATCCAGGACTGAGGCTGTAGATCCAGGACTGAGGCTGTAGATCCAGGACTGAGGCTGTAGATCCAGGACTGAGGCTGTAGACCCAGGACTGAGGCTGTAGACCCAGGACTGAGGCTGTAGATCCAGGACTGAGGCTGTAGATCCAGGACTGAGGCTGTAGATCCAGGACTGAGGCTGTAGACCCAGGACTGAGGCTGTAGATCCAGGACTGAGGCTGTAGATCCAGGACTGAGGCTGTAGATCCAGGACTGAGGCTGTAGATCCAGGACTGAGGCTGTAGACCCAGGACTGAGGCTGTAGACCCAGGACTGCAGAGGTTACCAGGAGGGGAGGAGGGTGCAGCCCACGAATCCAGGCCGGGGGGGAGAGACCAGTCCACAGATGGAAGAGGCTGCTGTCATATCAAGACCAAAAAATCCATCCTCTGCTGAACATTGCCTTAAAGAAGCTGATTTGGTTAAAGCTAATATTCATGTCATTTGTCTGTTAGTCCCAAAAATCCATGTGTTTCTCAGAGTCTCAGCTTTAAGTGTTATTGAATGAAAGTGTGGAAAGACGATGGGGACAAATCAATACAGCTCACAGCCGCCGCTGCGATCGATGGTCCCGACCTGGGAGTGTCCTGGTGTGACCTACAGAGGACACAGTGGCTCGGTCCCGGTCCCCTCCCCACAATCAATGCAGCTCAGCACCGACGAGAAGGAGACCGGAAAGTGCTGCGGAAAGTGATGGTCCTGAGGGTCCAGGTCTATTTCAGAAGGAGGCCACTGGTTTTGTCCACTTTTTAATGGGACACAGGTCCAGAAATCTTCCACAGGTGATAGTTAGTTGAGAGGGTCCAATTATCTGGTTTCTCCAAGATGTCTGCCTCTGGTCTCTCCAAGATGTCTGCCCCTGGTCTCTCCAAGATGTCTGCCTCTGGTCTCTCCAAGATGTCTGCCTCTGGTTTCTCCAAGATGTCTGCCCCCGTCTCTCCAAGATGTCTGCTCTGGTCTCTCCAAGATGTCTGCCCCTGGTCTCTCCAAGATGTCTGCCTCTGGTCTCTCCAAGATGTCTGCCTCTGGTCTCTCCAAGATGTCTGTCTCTGGTCTCTCCAAGATGTCTGCCTCTGGTCTCTCCAAGATGTCTGTCTCTGGTCTCTCCAAGATGTCTGCCTCTGGTCTCTCCAAGATGTTTGCCTCTGGTCTCTCCAAGATGTGAGAGTGAGGCTGTAGAACCAGGACTGAGGCTGTAGACCCAGGACTGAGGCTGTAGATCCAGGACTGAGGCTGTAGACCCAGGACTGAGGCTGTAGATCCAGGACTGAGGCTGTAGATCCAGGACTGAGGCTGTAGATCCAGGACTGAGGCTGTAGATTTGGCAAAAAGAAAGGGACCGTTGGGAGTCCAGGGTATTTTATTTCTTTCAATTTTTATAGTATATTATGCCATTTTAGTTCTGATGAGCCCAGGGGGGAGGCCCGGGGGGGAGGGTCCTGTGACTAAAATGCCAGCACCTGTCAATAAGTCACATTACACAAAGCAGGTCTTTAAATTAATCCTTTTGAAATTGGGCTGGGACCAGAGCGCCAGCCCCATGGTGTTTACACGTTCTGATGAAAGGAGGCGGACGGCTCTTATCTGCTGCGTGTTAGAATATGTAAAATATATGTTATTAGACTTATCTCACCGCCTTTCCACGGATCTGACCTGGAAGAAGAGAAATACAGCCTTGTTCATATGATAGTTCTGAGGGCCGCAGATAGTGTTGAGTCTCACCAATGATAATACACTAGTTCTTATTGTTAGCTACCTAGTCTCTGTCTCTGTGTCTCTCTCTGGTCTCTTTCTGTCCTCTTTCTGGTCTCTCTCTCTGGTCTCTCTGGTCTCTCTGGTCTCTCTGGTCTCTTTCTGGTCTCTCTCTGGCCTCTCTCTGTCCTCTCTCTGGTCTCTCTCTGGTCTCTCTCTGGTCTCTCTGGTCTCTTTCTGGTCTCTCTCTGGCCTCTCTCTGTCCTCTCTCTGGTCTCTCTCTGGTCTCTCTCTGGTCTCTCTCTGGTCTCTCTCTGGTCTCTCTGGTCTCTTTCTGGTCTCTCTCTGGCCTCTCTCTGTCCTCTCTCTGGTCTCTCTCTGGTCTCTCTCTGGTCTCTCTCTGGTCTCTTTCTGTCCTCTTTCTGGTCTCTCTCTCTGGTCTCTCTGGTCTCTCTCTGGTCTCTCTCTGGTCTCTCTCTGGTCTCTTTCCGGTCTCCCTCTGGTCTCTCTCTGGTCTCTCTCTGGCCTCTCTCTGGTCTCTCTCTGGCCTCTCTCTGGTCTCTCTCTCTGGCCTCTCTCTGGTCTCTCTCTGGTCTCTCGCTGGTCTTTTTCCGTCTCTCTCTGGTCTCTCTCTGGTCTCTCTCTGGTCTCTCTCTGGTTTCTCTCTGGCCTCTCTCTGGTCTCTCTCTGGCCTCTCTCTGGTCTCTCTCTGGTCTCTCTCCGGTCTGTCTCTCTGGTCTCTCTCTGGTCTCTCTCTGGTTTCTCTCTGGCCTCTCTCTGGTCTCTCTCTGGTCTCTCTCCGGTCTCTCTCTCTGGTCTCTCTCTGGCCTCTCTCTGGTCTCTCTCTGGCCTCTCTCTGGTCTCTCTCTGGTCTCTCTCCGGTCTCTCTCTCTGGTCTCTCTCTGGTCTCTCTCTGGTCTCTCTCTGGTCTCTCTCTGGTCTCTCTCTGGTTTCTCTCTGGGCCTCTCTTTGGTCTCTCTCTGGTCTCTCTCCGGTCTCTCTCTCTGGTCTCTCTCTGGCCTCTCTCTGGTCTCTCTCTGGCCTCTCTCTGGTCTCTCTCTGGTCTCTCTCCGGTCTCTCTCTGGTTTCTCTCTGGCCTCTCTCTGGTCTCTCTCTGGTCTCTCTCCGGTCTCTCTCTCTGGTCTCTCTCTGGTCTCTCTCTGGTTTCTCTCTGGTCTCTCTCTGGTCTCTCTCCGGTCTCTCTCTCTGGTCTCTCTCTGGTCTCTCTCTGGTCTCACTCTGGTCTCTCTCTGGTCTCTCTCCGGTCTCTCTCTCTGGCCTCTCTCTGGTCTCTCTCCGGTCTCTCTCTGGTCTCTCTCTGGTCTCTCTTTGGTCTCTCTCTGGTCTCTCTCTGGCCTCTCTCTGGTCTCTCTCTGGCCTCTCTCTGGTCTCTCTCTGGTCTCTCTCCGGTCTCTCTCTCTGGTCTCTCTCTGGTCTCTCTCTGGTCTCACTCTGGTCTCTCTCTGGTCTCTCTCTGGTCTCTCTCTCTGGCCTCTCTCTGGTCTCTCTCCGGTCTCTCTCTCTGGTCTCTCTCTGGCCTCTCTCTGGTCTCTCTCTGGCCTCTCTCTGGTCTCTCTCTGGTCTCTCTCCGGTCTCTCTCTCTGGTCTCTCTCTGGTCTCTCTCTGGTCTCTCTCTGGTCTCTCTCTGGTCTCTCTCTGGCCTCTCTCTGGTCTCTCTCTGGTCTCTCTCTCTGGTCTCTCTCTGGCCTCTCTCTGGTCTCTCTCTGGTCTCACTCTGGTCTCTCTCTGGTCTCTCTCCGGTCTCTCTCTCTGGCCTCTCTCTGGTCTCTCTCTGGTCTCTCTCTGGTCTCTCTCTGGCCTCTCTCTGGTCTCTCTCTGGTCTCTCTCTGGTCTCTCTCTGGCCTCTCTCTGGTCTCTCTCTGGTCTCTCTCTGGTCTCTCTCTGGCCTCTCTCTGGTCTCTCTCTGATCTCTCTCTGGTCTCTCTCTGATCTCTCTCTGGTCTCTCTCTGGCCTCTCTCTGGTCTCTCTCTGGTCTCTCTCTGGTCTCTCTCTGGTCTCTCTCTGGTCTCTCTCTGGTCTCTCTCTGGCCTCTCTCTGGTCTCTCTCTGGTCTCTCTCTGGCCTCTCTCTGGTCTAGAATAGAAACACAGGCTTGTTCATGTGATAGCTACATGGTTCTGAGGGCCACAGATAGTGTTGAGTCTTACCAATAATAGTACAATAGTTTTAATTGTTAGCTAGCTAGTGTCCTGTCTCAGATAGTTCCAGAGACCCCGCCCTGGACCCTCTGCTGTTCCCACACACCGCGCTGCAGCCGGCGGCGTGCGAGCTCCGGGTCTGAGGAGGAAATTGGATGTGGACTTGAGAGAGAGCGTAATGCGGTTAAAGGCATCATGAAAAGAAGCTCTAACAGGATTTGAGGCGAGTGCTCCGTGAGGCCAGTCATTAAGACCAGTCTGTGTCTGTGTGTGTGTCTGTGTGTGTGTCTGTGTGTGTGTCTGTGTGTGTGTGTCTGTGTGTGTGTCTGTGTCTGTGTGTGTCTGTGTCTGTGTCTGTGTGTCTGTGTCTGTGTGTCTGTGTCTGTGTCTGTGTCTGTGTGTGTGTCTGTGTGTGTGTCTGTGTGTATGTGTCTGTGTCTGTGTGTCTGTGTCTGTGTGTCTGTGTGTCTGTGTCTGTGTGTGTGTCTGTGTCTGTGTCTGTGTGTCTGTGTGTGTGTCTGTGTCTGTGTGTCTGTGTGTGTGTCTGTGTGTGTGTCTGTGTGTGTGTGTCTGTGTGTGTGTCTGTGTCTGTGTGTCTGTGTGTCTGTGTCTGTGTGTGTGTCTGTGTGTGTGTGTCTGTGTGTGTGTCTGTGTGTGTCTGTGTCTGTGTGTGTCTGTGTCTGTGTCTGTGTGTCTGTGTGTCTGTGTCTGTGTCTGTGTCTGTGTCTGTGTGTGTGTCTGTGTGTGTGTCTGTGTGTCTGTGTCTGTGTCTGTGTGTCTGTGTCTGTGTCTGTGTCTGTGTGTCTGTGTCTGTGTGTCTGTGTGTCTGTGTCTGTGTGTGTGTCTGTGTCTGTGTCTGTGTGTCTGTGTGTGTGTCTGTGTGTGTGTCTGTGTGTGTGTCTGTGTCTGTGTCTGTGTCTGTGTCTGTGTGTCTGTGTGTCTGTGTCTGTGTCTGTGTCTGTGTCTGTGTGTCTGTGTGTCTGTGTCTGTGTGTGTGTCTGTGTCTGTGTCTGTGTGTGTGTCTGTGTCTGTGTCTGTGTCTGTGTGTGTGTCTGTGTGTGTGTCTGTGTCTGTGTGTCTGTGTCTGTGTCTGTGTCTGTGTGTCTGTGTCTGTGTGTGTGTCTGTGTCTGTGTCTGTGTGTCTGTGTGTGTCTGTGTCTGTGTCTGTGTCTGTGTCTGTGTCTGTGTCTGTGTGTCTGTGTGTCTGTGTCTGTGTGTGTGTCTGTGTGTCTGTGTGTCTGTGTCTGTGTGTGTGTGTGTGTCTGTGTCTGTGTGTCTGTGTCTGTGTCTGTGTCTGTGTCTGTGTCTGTGTGTCTGTGTGTCTGTGTCTGTGTGTGTGTGTGTGTCTGTGTCTGTGTGTGTGTGTGTGTCTGTGTCTGTGTGTGTGTGTGTCTGTGTGTGTGTCTGTGTGTCTGTGTGTCTGTGTCTGTGTGTCTGTGTGTCTGTGTGTCTGTGTGTTTGTGTGTGTGTGTGTCTGTGTGTTTGTGTGTGTGTGTGTCTGTGTGTCTGTGTGTCTGTGTGTCTGTGTGTCTGTGTGTCTGTGTGTCTGTGTGTCTGTGTGTCTGTGTCTGTGTGTGTGTGTCTGTGTCTGTGTCTGTGTGTGTGTGTCTGTGTGTCTGTGTGTCTGTGTGTCTGTGTCTGTGTGTCTGTGTCTGTGTGTGTGTGTCTGTGTCTGTGTCTGTGTGTGTGTGTCTGTGTGTCTGTGTGTCTGTGTGTCTGTGTCTGTGTGTCTGTGTCTGTGTGTTTGTGTTTGTGTCTGTGTCTGTGTCTGTGTGTTTGTGTCTGTGTCTGTGTGTTTGTGTCTGTGTGTGCCTGTGTCTGTGTCTGTGTGTTTGTGTCTGTGTGTGTCTGTGTCTGTGTCTGTGTGTTTGTGTTTGTGTCTGTGTGTGTCTGTGTCTGTGTCTGTGTCTGCGTCTGTGTGTTTGTGTCTGTGTCTGTGTCTGTGTCTGTGTGTCTGTGTGCGGCATGGTGGCTGAGTGGATAGCACTCTCGCCTCTCAGCAAGAAGGTCCTGGGTTCGAATCCCGGCCGGACCAGGGCCTTTCTGAGTGGAGTTTGCATGTTCTCCCCGTGTCTGCGTAGGTTTCCTCCGGGTACTCCTGTTTTCCCTACCACTAAAAATATGTACAATAGTTCTGGCATGCGCCTCATGTACTGGCCCCCCCACCCAACAATTGTAAACCGCTTTGAGACTCCGATGTGCAATGAAAAGGCGGTATATAAATAAAAGCTTACTTACTTACTGTGTCTGTGTGTGCCTCTCTCTCTGGTCTCTCTCTGGTCTCTCTCTGGCCTCTCTCTAGTCTCTCTCTGGCCTCTCTCTAGTCTCTCTCTCTCTGGTCTCTCTCTGGCCTCTCTCTGGCCTCTCTCTGGTCTCTCTCTGGTCTCTCTCTGGTCTCTCTCTAGCCTCTCTCTGGTCTCTCTCTGGTCTCTCTCTGGTCTCTCTCTAGTCTCTCTCTGGTCTCTCTCTGGCCTCTCTCTGGCCTCTCTCTGGTCTCTCTCTGGTCTCTCTCTGGTCTCTCTCTGGTCTCTCTCTGGTCTCTCTCTGGTCTCTCTCTGGCCTCTCTCTGGCCTCTCTCTGGTCTCTCTCTGGTCTCTCTCTGGTCTCTCTCTAGCCTCTCTCTGGTCTCTCTCTGGCCTCTCTCTAGTCTCTCTCTGGCCTCTCTCTGGTCCCTCTCTGGTCTCTCTCTGGTCTCTCTCTGGCCTCTCTCTGGTCTCTCTCTGGCCTCTCTCTAGCCTCTCTCTGGTCTCTCTCTGGCCTCTCTCTAGTCTCTCTCTGGCCTCTCTCTGGTCCCTCTCTGGTCTCTCTCTGGTCTCTCTCTGGCCTCTCTCTGGTCTCTCTCTGGTCTCTCTGGTCTCTCTCTGGTCTCTCTGGCCTCTCTCTAGCCTCTCTCTGGTCTCTCTCTGGTCTCTCTCTGGTCTCTCTGGTCTCTCTCTGGCCTCTCTCTGGCCTCTCTCTGGTCTCTCTGGTCTCTCTGGTCTCTCTGGCCTCTCTCTGGCCTCTCTCTGGTCTCTCTGGTCTCTCTGGTCTCTCTCTGGCCTCTCTCTGGCCTCTCTCTGGTCTCTCTGGTCTCTCTGGTCTCTCTGGCCTCTCTCTAGCCTCTCTCTGGTCTCTCTCTGGTCTCTCTCTGGCCTCTCTCTGGTCTCTCTGGCCTCTCTCTGGCCTCTCTCTGGTCTCTCTGGTCTCTCTGGTCTCTCTCTGGCCTCTCTCTGGTCTCTCTGGTCTCTCTCTGGTCTCTCTCTGGCCTCTCTCTGGTCTCTCTCTGGTCTCTCTGGTCTCTCTCTGGTCTCTCTGGCCTCTCTCTAGCCTCTCTCTGGTCTCTCTCTGGTCTCTCTCTGGTCTCTCTGGTCTCTCTCTGGCCTCTCTCTGGCCTCTCTCTGGTCTCTCTGGTCTCTCTGGTCTCTCTCTGGCCTCTCTCTGGCCTCTCTCTGGTCTCTCTGGTCTCTCTGGTCTCTCTCTGGCCTCTCTCTGGCCTCTCTCTGGTCTCTCTGGTCTCTCTGGTCTCTCTGGCTCTCTCTCTAGCCTCTCTCTGGTCTCTCTCTGGTCTCTCTCTGGCCTCTCTCTGGTCTCTCTGGTCTCTCTCTGGCTCTCTCTCTGGTCTCTCTGGTCTCTCTGGTCTCTCTCTGGTCTCTCTGGTCTCTCTGGTCTCTCTCTGGTCTGGTTCTCTCTGTCTTGTCTCTCTCTCTTGTCTCTCTCTCTGGTCTCTCTCTCTGGTCTCTCTGGTCTCTCCGGTCTCTCCGGTCTCTCCCGGGTATCTCTCTGGTCTCTCTTGTCTCTCTTGTCTCTCTGGTCTCACTCTGGTCTCTCTCTGGTCTCTCTCTCTGGTCTCTCTGGTCTCTCCGGTCTCTCCCGGGTATCTCTCTGGTCTCTCTTGTCTCTCTTGTCTCTCTGGTCTCTCTCTGGTCTCTCTCTGGTCTCTCTTGTCTCTCTGGTCTCTCTGGTCTCTCTGGTCTCTCTTGTCTCTCTTGTCTCTCTGGTCTCTCTGGTCTCTCTTGTCTCTCTGGTCTCTCTGGTCTCTCTGGTCTCTCTGGTCTCTCTGGTCTCTCTGGTCTCTCTTGTCTCTCTTGTCTCTCTGGTCTCTCTGGTCTCTCTTGTCTCTCTGGTCTCTCTGGTCTCTCTGGTCTCTCTGGTCTCTCTGGTCTCTCTGGTCTCTCTGGTCTCTCTGGTCTCTCTCTGGTCTCTCTCTGGTCTCTCTCTCTCTGATCTCTCTCTAGTCTCTCTCCGGTCTCTCTCTCTGGTCTCTCTCCGGTCTCTCTGGAACACACGGTCACAGGTCATGTTGATGCAGTCTCTGGAGCGTGGACTGAGCAGGACTGAGGTCTGGAACATTTGGGCCAAAATGACGATAATGAGTTTTTAAAGAGTCAATTATCTATAATGAATAATGAATAGTTCAAACTGTTTGATTTTCTGATCTGAAGTTTATGAATCGACAACTGTGAAAAATTGTGATTTAGGGCGATACACAAATACATTGAAAAGTAAACTCCTCAAGCTCAGTAACCGTTGCAGGTGGGATCTCCGGCTTGCCGTAGCAACCGCCTTAGCAACACATTAGTTGGCATGTGCCCCTGCTATGGTGAGTGGGTGACCCTGTAGTAAGAATATTTCATATAAGAAATTTGGCTCCAAAATTGCCAAGATGGCCGCCGTTTAAACCGCTTTTTCTGCATTGGTTGAACCCTCTTCACTCTGGTCACAGTATCACAGTCTATGGTCACAGCAGACAGACACCATGTAGATATACGATGGTTTTACCTCAGGGAACTACCGTGGTCTTCCCATAATGCTCGGGTCTCCCTCTCTCTGGTCTCGCTCTGGTCTCCCTCTGGTCTCCCTCTGGTCTCCCTCTGGTCTACCTCTGGTCTACCTCTGGTCTACCTCTGGTCTACCTCTGGTCTACCTCTGGTCTACCTCTGGTCTACCTCTGGTCTCCCTCTGGTCTCCCTCTGGTCTCCCTCTGGTCTCCCTCTGGTCTCTCTCTGGTCTCTCTCTGGTCTCTCTCTGGTCTCTCTCTGGTCTCCCTCTGGTCTCCCTCTGGTCTCTCTCTGGTCTCTCTCTTTGGTCTCTCTCTGGTCTCTCTCTTTGGTCTCTCTCTGGTCTCTCTCTTTGGTCTCTCTGGTCTCTCTCTTTGGTCTCTCTCTGGTCTTTCTCTTTGGTCTCTGGTCTCTCCCTCCAGTCTCTTTGATCTCTCTCTGGTCTCTCTCTCTGGTCTCCCTCTCCGGTCTCTCTCTGGTCACCCTCCCTCTCTCTGGTCTCTCTCTCTCCGGTCTCTCTCTGGTCTCTCTCTCTGGTCTCTCTCTCCGGTCTCTCTCTGGTCACCCTCTCTCTCTCTGGTCTCTCTCTCCGGTCTCTCTCTGGTCTCTCTCTCTGGTCTCTCTCTCCGGTCTCTCTCTGGTCACCCTCTCTCTCTCTGGTCTCTCTCTGGTCTCTCTGGTCTCTCAGCACATGCACCATGTAGAAATACGATGGTTTTACCTCAGGATCCATCTCCTGCAGCTCGTACTCCAGCTGGTCCAGCTCCTCGGCGCTCATGCCCTTGAGGATGGCGTCCTCATCGATGTCCCGTGGGTCCGACATGGCTCCGGAGGGTCACACACACACACTCGCCCACTCACACTACCCGCTCCAGAGAGGGCACTGCACCGAGACAGGAAACAAGGGGAACACGGTTAACATCATAGACCAAAGATTATACTGTATACAAATACCAAATACAAAACAGTTCTCAGTACATACTAAGTTGTCATTATAAAGGCGCGTTCTCACTTGGAAGGGGGGAGTGGTTTCGAGTTGGCGCTACGGCTAAGCTAGCAAAATCTTACAACTAGTTCTATGCATCTTTAATCTGGGCACAAACCAGACTCAGAAACAGAATCAAAGACATGCATGTTAGTTTGGCTGCTGTACATTAGTCCTCTGGCCTGTTCTGTCCTCTTCACTTCTCCATAGAGATCACAGGGACAGCCCAGAGAGACCAGAGATAGAGAGAGAGAGAGAGACCATAGAGAGAGAGAGAGAGAGACCAGAGAGAGAGAGAGACCAGAGACAGAGAGAGGGCAGAGAGACCAGAGATAGAGAGAGAGAGAGAGAGACCAGAGAGAGAGAGAGACCAGAGAGAGAGAGAGGGCAGAGAGACCAGAGAGAGAGAGAGAGAGACCAGAGAGAGAGAGAGAGACCAGAGAGAGAGAGAGGGCAGAGAGACCAGAGAGAGAGAGAGAGAGACCAGAGAGAGAGAGAGACCAGAGAGAGAGAGAGGGCAGAGAGACCAGAGAGAGAGAGAGAGAGACCAGAGACAGAGAGAGAGAGAGAGAGAGACCAGAGATAGAGAGAGAGAGAGAGAGAGACCAGAGACAGAGGGCAGAGGGCAGAGAGAGAGAGACCAGAGAGAGAGAGAGAGAGAGACCAGAGAGAGACCAGAGAGAGAGAGAGAGACCAGAGAGACCAGAGACAGAGGGCAGAGAGAGAGAGACCATAGAGAGAGAGAGAGAGAGAGAGAGAGACCAGAGATAGAGAGAGACCAGAGATAGAGAGGGCAGAGAGACCAGAGACAGAGGGCAGAGAGAGAGAGACCAGAGAGAGAGAGAGAGAGAGAGAGACACCAGAGAGAGAGAGAGACCAGAGATAGAGAGAGGGCAGAGAGACCAGAGACAGAGAGAGGGCAGAGAGACCAGAGACAGAGGGCAGAGAGAGAGAGACCAGAGAGAGAGAGAGAGAGAGACCAGAGACAGAGAGAGAGAGAGACCAGAGACAGAGAGAGAGAGAGACCAGAGACAGAGGGCAGAGAGAGAGAGAAGAGAGAGGAAGAGAGAGCAGAGAGTGAGAGAGAGACGTGGGTGATGGAGGACAGAAGTGTGGAGAATATAAGAATGATACGTACCATGGGTGAGGATTGCAGTCGTTAATATCTGTGGAACAGACGAGGTGTTTGTTAGAAGGGCGAGGCCATTTTTATATCAGAATCTTTTTTAAGAGTCACTTAAATAATACAAAGAATTCAAAATAAATACAATAAAAAATAAATATGCTTAAACATTTGTCCTCTGTAGAGCAAAAACCATGATTCAGAAATAACAATGGGTTTTTCCCTTTTGTTGATTCACCTAACGTTAAAGCAACAGATGTGCATTTATTAAATTAGACCAGAGAGACTAGAGAGACACCAGAGAGGGAGAGAGACCAGAGAGAGAGACACCAGAGAGAGAGACACCAGAGAGAGAGACACCAGAGAGGGAGAGAGACACCAGAGAGGGAGAGAGACACCAGAGAGAGAGACACCAGAGAGAGAGAGACACCAGAGAGAGAGACACCAGAGAGACTAGACAGAGACACCAGAGAGAGAGACACCAGAGAGAGAGAGACACCAGAGAGAGAGACACCAGAGAGACTAGAGAGACACCAGAGAGGGAGAGAGACCAGAGAGAGAGACACCAGAGAGAGAGACACCAGAGAGAGAGACACCAGAGAGAGAGACACCAGAGGGGGAGAGAGACACCAGAGAGAGAGACACCAGAGAGAGAGAGACACCAGAGAGAGAGACACCAGAGAGACTAGAGAGACACCAGAGAGAGAGACACCAGAGAGAGAGACACCCGAGAGGGAGAGAGACCAGAGAGAGAGGCACCAGAAAGAGAGGCACCAGAAAGAGAGGCACCAGAGAGAGGCACCAGAGAGAGAGACCAGGGAAAGAGAGAGAGAAAGAGACCAGAGAGAGAGAGACCAGGGAAAGAGAGAGAGAAAGAGACAAGAGAGAGAGAGAGACCAGGGAAAGAGAGAGAGAAAGAGACCAGAGAGAGAGAGAGACCAGGGAAAGAGAGAGAGAAAGAGACCAGAGAGAGAGAGAGACCAGGGAAAGAGAGAGAGAAAGAGACCAGAGAGAGAGAGACCAGGGAAAGAGAGAAAGAGACCAGAGAGGCCAGAGAGAGACACCAGAGAGACCAGAGAGACTAGCGAGAGAGAGAAACTTAAATAAAAGTAGCTCATGTTATACTAGCAGTTTTGTGATATTGCTGGAGTCTACACACACTGTCAGAAAATCCTCAAAAACAGCGCGGAGGTGGAGGTGAAGCGCGTCAAAGCGAGAGAGACCTCTGTGTAAGAATAGAAACTTACTCTGCTCACAGGTGGGGCCTTCCCAGCCTTCCTTACAGATGCAGGTGAAGGTGTCCCCGCCGCCCACACACGTGCCTCCGCTCAAACATGGACTGGAGGCGCACGAGTTGTTCTTGGCTGAGAATCCAAAAAAGGAGTGAGTCATAAAAGTTTGAGAGAGAGAAAACCTTGGACTGAAAGCTTAAAATATACTGCTGCAGAGAGACATATAAACTTATCTGGTGCTGAGGAAAAACCTGTTCAGTATCATGATATTTGGTGTTTGCAATTAAACTGATACAGTCGAGAAAAGTGCGGTGATATTTAATAAGATAATTATCAGTTTCACAGTTCTGTTTAGCTGCAAACGACTGAAGGATTGTATCTTTACTGTTTGAATGTTCTGGGATTATTTATGATTTTAATGCCGTCTTATTCTGTTCAGCACTTTGAGCTGCCTCGTGTATGAATTGTGCTATACAGATAAACTTGTCTTTTGTGGCTCTAGTCTGTTGTATTTGAATAATGTGCTGGGAGCTCATCATTCATGTGAGAGTCGGCTAACTCGGCTAACCCCTCTAACTCGGCAAACCCCTCTAACTCGGCAAACCCCTCTAACTCGGCAAACCCCTCTAACTCGGCAAACCCCTCTAACTCGGCAAACCCCTCTAACTCGGCAAACCCCTCTAACTCGGCAAACCCCTCTAACTCGGCAAACCCCTCTAACTCGGCAAACCCCTCTAACTCGGCTAACCCCTCTAACTCGGCAAACCCCTCTAACTCGGCAAACCCCTCTAACTCGGCTAACCCCTCTAACTCGGCTAACCCCTCTAACTCGGCAAACCCCTCTAACTCGGCAAACCCCTCTAACTCGGCAAACCCCTCTAACTCGGCAAACCCCTCTAACTCGGCAAACCCCTCTAACTCGGCAAACCCCTCTAACTCGGCAAACCCCTCTAACTCGGCAAATCCCTCTAACTCGGCAAACCCCTCTAACTCGGCAAACCCCTCTAACTCGGCAAACCCCTCTAACTCGGCAAACCCCTCTAACTCGGCAAACCCCTCTAACTCGGCAAACCCCTCTAACTCGGCAAATCCCTCTAACTCGGCAAACCCCTCTAACTCGGCTAACCCCTCTAACTCGGCAAACCCCTCTAACTCGGCAAACCCCTCTAACTCGGCAAACCCCTCTAACTCGGCAAACCCCTCTAACTCGGCAAACCCCTCTAACTCGGCAAACCCCTCTAACTCGGCAAACCCCTCTAACTCGGCAAACCCCTCTAACTCGGCTAACCCCTCTAACTCGGCAAACCCCTCTAACTCGGCAAACCCCTCTAACTCGGCAAACCCCTCTAACTCGGCAAACCCCTCTAACTCGGCAAACCCCTCTAACTCGGCAAATCCCTCTAACTCGGCTAACCCCTCTAACTCGGCTAACCCCTCTAACTCGGCTAACCCCTCTAACTCGGCAAACCCCTCTAACTCGGCTAACCCCTCTAACTCGGCAAACCCCTCTAACTCGGCTAACCCCTCTAACTCGGCTAACCCCTCTAACTCGGCTAACCCCTCTAACTCGGCTAACCCCTCTAACTCGGCTAACCCCTCTAACTCGGCTAACCCCTCTAACTCGGCTAACCCCTCTAACTCGGCAAACCCCTCTAACTCGGCAAACCCCTCTAACTCGGCAAACCCCTCTAACTCGGCAAACTCCTCTAACTCGGCTAACTCGGCTAACTCTTCCAAGTCTTCTAACTTTGCTAACTCTGCTAACTCTTCCAATTTCCGCTAACTCTTCTAACTGCGCTAACTCCGCTAACTCCGCTAACTCCTCTAACTCCTCTAACTCCGCTAACTCCGCTAACTCCGCTAACTCCGCTAACTCCGCTAACTCTTCTAACTGTGCTAACTCTTCCAAGTCTTCTAACTCCGCTAACTCTTCCAAGTCTTCTAACTCCGCTAACTCTTCCAAGTCCGCTAACTCCGCTAACTTCTCTCTAAAGCTACATCTGTTCTGGTGTATAGTCAGGCAAGAAGCAAAAGCTAACCACTCGGCTAACTCCTCTCTAAAGCTACATCTGTTCTGGTGTATAGTCAGGCAAGAAGCAAAAGCTAACCACTCCCCCACTCCGTCCCCTCCGTCCTCACCGGTGTTGCAGGTGTTGCCGCCCCATCCTGAGGGGCACGCGCAGCGGAAGGTGTCTCCGTGGTCGTAGCAGGTGCCGCCGTTACTGCAGGTGGTGGCGTCGCATTGGCTTTCTCCTGTTGGACACAGACACAAAGACACAACTATCAGTTCTACTTTTATGTTCAGGGGAAAATGTTGTTCGACAGAGACCAGAGACAAAGACGAGAGAGCGACCATAGAGACCAGAGAGAGAGCGACCAGACAGAGACCAGAGAGAAAGACGAGAGAGCAACCATAGAGACCAGAGAGAGAGTGACCAGACAGAGACCATAGAGAGAGAGAGAGACCAGAGAGATAGACGAGAGAGCGACCATAGAGACCAGAGAGATAGACGAGAGAGCGACCATAGAGACCAGAGAGAGAGCGACCATAGAGAGAGTGACCAGACAGAGACCATAGAGAGAGAGAGAGACCAGAGAGATAGAGAGAGACCAAAGGGAGAGAGACCAGAGATAGAGAGAGAGACCAAAGGGAGAGAGATCAGAGAGAGAGAGATCAGAGAGAGAGACCAGAGAGAGAGAGGCCAGAGACAAGAGCGAGAGAGGCCGAGAGAGAGCGAGAGAGCGAGAGACCAGAGAGAGAGAGGCCAGAGACAAGAGCGTGCGAGAGAGAGAGGTCAGAGAGAGAGAGAGAGGCCAGAGACAAGAGCGTGCGAGAGAGAGAGGCCAGAGAGAGAGAGAGACCAGAGAGAGAGCGAGAGAGGCCAGAGAGAGAGACCAGAGAGAGACACGAGAGAGAGAGAGCCCAGAGAGAGAGACTATTGTCTATTGTACTTTTTAACTTGTTTTACTGCATATACATTTACACACTGGGGACCTTTGCACTTTTATTCCGATGTGGTTTTACTGCCATAGCAAAAAGCCTGAATCTGAAGATGTCTAAAAGCTTATTACTCGTTATAAACCTTTTTAATTGTCTAGACTCTAAAGTAACAGGATGTTGGGGCATTTCGACACCAGTCCTGGGGTCGAAATGTTCCCAGAAGCGCGAGTACAAACTTATCGTGGCGAATGAACGGTTGCTATTTTCAGAACGTCTGCGAAAGTGAGAAACTTGTGACTTCTGCAAAACGCTAAAAATGAATGTGTCGTTTCCCGCACTGTGAAATGAGTGTGAATGGAAAAAATATTGAATTATTAGCTGCTACTTTGTTAGAGCGCCCCCTGGAGGAACGGATCTGGACACAGCTCAATCAGCGGTTGGTGATGGAGCCGTGTCCAGATTCCTCCTTCAGTGAGAGTTTATGTGAACAGCAGAGATGATAAAATTAAAACAAAATCAGATACTGGGAATCAATGGAGCTACAGCGTGTCCTTCCGTGGGAGAAGACCCCTCTCTCAGGCCAGAGGTTTCTCACTTTTTTCCCCACTGGGTTTTTGAGTGGTTCTTTGCAGATACAGGAGGGACATTTATTATCCCGCTCCCTTTGAACCAATGGCTCTTCTGTTTTTTTTTTCTTCATTTCATTTCATTTTCAACCCCTTTGTCCATTTCTGGGTTGGGGGGGGGGGGGGGGGGGGGGTGGCAATGAGAGCTGCCACCCAACGCTCATAGCACCAGTCCCTCACTGATCTTCTGCAGGGGGTGAGTCCACAGGAAGATGGCTGCTCCGTCCATTGTGAAACAGCCTTGATCTTTCAGCGGGGGGCTTCAGGCAATGTGGGGTTAAGTGTCTTGCCCAAGGACACAACGACAGCAGTCATCAGTGGGAGCAGTTAGAGTAGGTCCCATGGTGGGAATCGAACTCACAACCTCCAGGCCCAAAGGCCAATGCTCTACCAACTGAGCTATGTTGCTGTTGGTGAATCAACTATGTAAACTCCCCGGAGACAGTCTTCCTGAGAATGTGAGACAGGCTTCTTTCTCTGACAATGCTCAAATCCAGGTTAATAACAGTTCTGCTTAGCTGCAAATACAACCGAAGGACTGCATCGTCACTCTTTTTATTTATGATTTTTAATAGTAAGTAAGTTAGTGAGTTTTTATTTATATACCGCCTTTTCACTGCAGATCTGAGTCTCAAAGCGGTTTACAATTGTTAATTTTGGGCATTTGTCTCTCACTCCACACAGAGATGGGAGCGGGGTCGCCGGTACAGGAGGCGCATGCTAGAACTATTGTACATGTTTTTAGTGGTAGGGGAAACCGGAGTACCCGGAGGAAACCTACACAGACACGGGGAGAACATGCAAACTCCACTCAGAAAGGCCCTGGTCCGACCGGGATTCGAACCCAGGACCTTCTTGCTGAGAGGCGAGAGTGCTATCCACTCAGCCACCGTGCCGCCCGAATTCCACATAATACCGCATAATACCAATGTTTGCCTTGTGTATGAATGTGCTAAAAAGAATCCAACTGTCCTGGCCCTATTATTGTAAAGAAGGATTTTCAGATGGTAAGAAAGAGATCTGGCGGCTCATAAAAGGTCCACGGCCGATGTGTTTTTCCCGCGGCAGTAAACGGAGGCATAAACACAGAGGGTGGGACTCACGGGAATGACAGGTCTTGCCCTTCCAGCTGTCGGCGCACTCGCAGTAGAAGTCGTTCACCAGATCCACGCAGCGGCCGCCGTTCTTACATGGGCTGTGTCTGCACTCGTTCACGTCTGAAGCGACAGAAACAAAAACAGAAAAAACATTATGTCGAATGTTTTTGCTCGTGGAAATCAGAGACTGTATATAATGTAAGTAAGTAAGTAAGTAATCTTTATTTATATACCGCCTTTCACAGACCAGAGTCACAAAGCGGTTTACAATTGTTATTTTTTGGGCACATATTTTTAGTGGTAGGGGAAACCGGAGTACCCGGAGGAAACCTACGCACACACGGGGAGAACATGCAAACTCCACTCAGAAAGGCCCTGGTCCGACTGGGATTCGAACCCAGGACCTTCTTGCTGAGAGGCGAGAGTGCTATCCACTCAGCCACCGTGCCGCCGAAGAAGAGGCCGAATTTAAGCTAGCTGGAGAAGATTTTCCTTATATGGGCTTTTTTTTTTTAGCTTTGCGCCGTAACAGGGGCAAACGTGTTGCTAAGACGGTTGCTAAGGAAAGCTAGAGTTTCCACTGCGAATGAAGGCGTCTGATTGGCTCATATCTGACATTATCACAATGTTAACACCAGGATCACAGAGAGCGATTAACTACAAACTTTTTAAGCCCAAAATAGTGATCCTCGGTCTTTGATCTACAGCCTCAGTCCATGGGAGAGAATCCCCCTCATGATATGGGTCTCCCAGAGGTTTCTCACTTTATCTCAGCTCTTTTTCCCATTCCTTGTTGATGTAGGAGGGTCTAAGGACAGTGACAGTCCAGGACATTCAGCGACATTTATTAACATTTACAAACAGTGGTCATCCCGCTCCCTATGGACCGATGACTCCTATGTTTTTGTTGGAGCTAAACTACATCCATGAGCACTTCGCTATCGGGCTTCGTTGTGATAGCATGTTAGCATTGTCCATCTGTGTACAGTCTAAGGTGTGAATGAGAGACTGGGCACTCACTGAGGTCACAGAGAAGCCCCTCCCACCCGTCCGGACACACGCACTGGAAGGAGTTGATGCCGTCGATGCAGGTGCCGCTGTTCTGACACGGGTTACTCACACAGTCGTTGATGTCTGCAGCAGGAGAGAGGGGAAGACGTTAGAAAACATTGACTTTTTGTTTTGCATCTGCCGAAACGCAGGAGGAGTGAGTGCATAGAAATGACGGATAAACGTGAATGGTCAGGTGCTCTTCGAGATCAGTGGGAAAACAATGAAAACAAAAGGATTTTTTAAGTCAAGCCTCGGACCACTTCCTCCAGTATTGACGGGAAAAAACAACGCGTATCTGCCTAGATTTATAGATTTTTAAGTGAAGTCAGAGGGGACCATTTCCTCTTGCTTATCCATTTTATAATTTGTGTTAAAATGCACTTAAAAGCTGGAACTTTGAAGCCACAGTGAAGTATTAAAATCCATGTAACTAGTTCCTTGCCCTCTGTTTGGTTCTGCCACTATAAAAATCTGATTTGTTCACAAAAAGTTAATTAGCCTGGTCCCTGTGCTCCGCAGAGTCCCAGCAGGTGGTCAGTCCCTGTGCTCCTCAGAGTTGGTTCATACGGTATAATATGTCTCAGATGTACTTTGGTGCGAGGAGGATAAAGAAGCAGGACAGAGGGAGGACTCACTCTCGTGGCAGTAGAAGCCGCTGAAGCCCTGGTCGCAGATGCAGCTGAAGTTCCCGCTGTCGTGGCTCACACAGATCCCTCGCGGACCGCAGACGTTCGACGGAATGTGCTGCACCGTGGACGAGTCGTTGGTCGCCACGGTGATGGTGCAGCTGTCAATCACTGGAACCAGGAGAAAAATGGTTGTTTAGCTTCATGTTGTAGAATTGTGTTTCAGTCCTGGGTCTGCAGCCTCGGTCCTGGGTCTGCAGCCTCGGTCCTGGGTCTGCAGCCTCGGTCCTGGGTCTGCAGCCTCGGTCCTGGGTCTGCAGCCTCGGTCCTGGGTCTGCAGCCTCGGTCCTGGGTCTGCAGCCTCGGTCCTGGGTCTGCAGCCTCGGTCCTGGGTCTACAGCCTCGGTCCTGGGTCTACAGCCTCGGTCCTGGGTCTGCAGCCTCGGTCCTGGGTCTACAGCCTCGGTCCTGGGTCTACAGCCTCAGTGGGTGCTAACCTTGGCAGGGGGAGGTCTGGCAGGTCTCCTTCAGCGTGGAGCAGGTCTTTCCCCTGTAGCCCTCGGGACAGGCGCAGTAGAAGTCTTGGCCCATGCTGTGACACGTGGCTGCGTTCTCACAGGGTCCAGAGTCACAGGAGTCTGCGGGCGACCAGGTGGGTCTCTGTGGAGACAATGGGGAAAATTAAGATTAAGATAAGATTAAGAGATCCTTTATCCATCCCAGAGTAGGGAAATGTCAGTGTTGCATCACACGTTACAGAAGAGTAAGAATGAGGAGCACACAGAACAAGATAAATGAACAGAAACTAAGCTGGAGTTTCCCCCGTGAATGAAGGCATCTGATTGGTCAATCCTTATATGGCTCTACAAAGACAATATCACGTATAAACACCAGGATCACAGAGAGCTCTAAACCACAGACATCTACTGAGCTAGGAGTTTACTTTTACATGTACGTCAACAGGAGTCGGAGCGAGTTGGAGCCAAACTTCATCCCTGAACACTTCCCTATTGATAGTTTATGCAGCAAAGAAGAAAAGATGAGCCTTCCTGAAGTTATTTGATTCTTCTACACCAGACAATTGTAAGATAGCGATGTAATTACCTAGCTAGCAGGTTAGCATTGTCCGTGTATATTCAGTCTATGTTTTGTAGTGGTAGGAGCCTATGTCGACACATGGAGAACATGCAAGACCCTTTCCGGAGGTGGAATGGAACCCAGGACCTTCTTGCTGTGAGCCACAAGTGCTACAACCACATTCTGCAGTTTGAACAGTGAAATGCACACACACACACACACACACACACACACACACACACGGCTCTGGTCTCTAAACAGAGGTCCCAGACTGGCTCCTGTAGCCCCCTCCACTGCCTTAAATGGCAAATGTGGTGATACTAGTTAGTTCATGCGTGCTGCTGTTTACACAAAATGGAGATTTTGTGTCTCAGCAGAAGACACAGAAGTGACCTCCGTGACTTTGTTTGGACAATTTACTACAACTTTCACCTTTCCCAAACAAGACTTCCATGAAACACAATGGGAAAAAGGGAGAAACCTAAATATTGAGAGAGACCCGCACCCACAGACGGACATGCTGTAGATTTCAGAATCGTTTTCAGCGGTAGAGTGAAAGACCCTCAGAAAGACCCTGTTCTAACCACCCAAACTTTTTATATGTATTATTATTTGTGATGTTGTCTGTGGTGCAAAGAAGTACAGGCCTCCATTTTGTTAAGTCAAAGTACAGAGATGGGAGCGAGCAAGAAATGGTTTGATGATTCTTAAAGGGGCGTGTCCCAAGTAGAGCGAAAGGTGATCGTAATCTTGTGAATGAACAGTGCCGATTTCTGTTGTCAACAAAAACAATCGTAAACTGTCGGCGCCTATAATTAATAAGGAATGCTGTGTGACTTTATGCACGAATACTCAGTCTGGGCACTCGGATACTAAAAATGTGTAAGTCAAATAAAGTAAGACGATACTGAGGAGAGAGAGGCTCGTGTCTGCCGTAGTACTCTGCCTCATATTTATAGTATCGATGCTAAATGCGGATTGGCTCCAGACCAGCTATGTCCTCCATTCTGTGCCCTGGAGATTCGCACAAGTGTCAGTTTCCTTATTGCTAACCTACATTTAGTTCAAGCGAAATGACTCCAAGAGACGAGCCATTACACAACACAAACACACGGAACCGCGGCTTTTTATGGTCAAAGCAAACGCCATTTTAGTTTCTTAATAACTACATACTAATGATAAAAATAAATCCGTTTTATATAGAGCTTTTTTAGACACTCAAAGACGCTTCACATTCACTCCATACACAAAAGGTGGTGAAGTACTATTGTAGCCACAGCTGCCCCGGGGCACACTGACAGTCTGTGCCATCAGCCCCTCCCACCACCACCAACCATTCACACACACACACACACACACACCAGACTCATTCTAATGTGGGGGAAGTGTCTTGTTCTTCACCGCTGCAGCTGCCCCACTGTGGCACCCGCTGTTCTCCCAGAGGTCTCCCATCACAGTGCTAACCAGGCCCTGCCCTGCTTAGCTTGACAAAGTGACATTCTTACCGTGAAAGTTCAAGCTGTTGCATGCACTGCTCTTCCCTATGGACCAACGTACCTCCTACATGTTTGTTATTATTGCATTTACTTTTTGTCAAACTGTTTTTCTGATCTGTCGTCGGCGAATCCACAGCTTTCAAAAGTCCTCCGAGACAACAACACAACAACACACTAAAACATCATATAAGCTAATGCAGATTCTTGGGATTTACCTTTTATAAAGCCAACTTATCAAGTAAATCAGTACGTGCATGTATAAAGTAAATTGAATTGAAAACTTGTCAAATCTTACTCAATTCTACACAAAAAAACTTTACATTTTTTTCTCATTTTCTTTCCAAACAAATCCTTATAAAGTGAGTAACGGCCGCCAGCGGGTCTTCACACCAGCACAACTGTTCCCCTCAGCACTTTATCCGTCTGCAGCTAAGTCTCCTTCCTGCAAACGCCTCATGCTCCGTCTTTAAATAGTCAGAGTCCAGAGCTCGGACCTGGACCTGAAACCGGAGCCTCACCTCGCACAGCTGTCCGGTGAACTCAGACGGGCACTCGCACTGGAAGCCGTCCAGCGTCGCGTGGCATCTGCCGTTGTTGTGGCACGGCTGGCTGTGGCACGAACTCCGCTGCGTCTCACAGTGAGCGCCACCGAAGCCGGGAGGGCACAGGCACTGGTACCCTCGCTGGTACCCCACCTGGTAGCCCTGCTGGTACCCCCGCGGAACCTCCTGCAGAGAGAGGAGAGAGAGAGAGAGGCTTTCATAGATGCTTAAAGTTAATTTAGAAATGATGGAGGTCATTAGAAGAATTAGTGTAGCTTTTAGCATTCTTAAGTCCTGTTTATAGCAGTCCTACTTGGCCCTGCTCGGCTCGGCTCGGCCATGATTGGGAGAGTTTCCACCGCCCCAATTTCACCAGTACCTTCTTTACAGTAGTTCCTCTTGACCCTGGTTCTATCCAGGACGAGCTGGAACTAAAGTGTTTAAATGTTATAGCTGACAGTGAGAGGCCAAAGTGCATCCGGATTGGTTTGCTGTGGGTCGGTTGCTATGATACAGAAGCAGATACTTAGAGTATTTAAAACACAGCCAGTAGAGTAAAGTAAAGTAAAGTAGAGCCAGGTTGGGCGGGTGGAAATGGGGCGTGCTTTTTGACCTGCTTTGGACCTGCTTTGGACGTGCTTTGGACGTGCTTTGGACGTGCTTTGGACGTGCTTTGGACGTGCTTTGGACGTGCTTTGGACGTGCTTTGGACGTGCTTTGGACGTGCTTTGGACCTGCTTTGGACCTGCTTTGGACCTGCTTTGGACCTGCTTTGGACCTGCTTTGGACCTGCTTTGGACCTGCTTTGGACCTGCTTTGGACCTGCTTTGGACCTGCTTTGGACCTGCTTTGGACCTGCTTTGGACCTGCTTTGGACCTGCTTTGGACCTGCTTTGGACCTGCTTTGGACCTGCTTTGGACCTGCTTTGGACCTGCTTTGGACCTGCTTTGGACCTAGTTCCGTCCCGTTTCATTCGTTAGGGTTATTTCTGAACATACCTTGCAAGTTGCTCCATTCTGACACTGTCCGTGGCAGCCGTTTAAATCTGAAACACAACAATCAGACTCAGTATTCAGCTGGAGTCAGTGCGACACGGAACCACTGTGAGAATCATGTTCTGAAGCTTGTGCGTATTATTCCTGTGAAAAGTGTGAAATAGAAAGTTAGACTTAGTGGAAGCCTGTGTGCGGCGAGCGAGAACATGCAGGTTGGGTCATGACCAGCAGCAGATAGGTTCCCACATGTGCCACAAAGTGAAAGCATTCTGAAGACATCCACCAGTGTGAGAGAGGAGGAGGAGGAGGAGGAGGAGGAGGAGGAGGGGAGCACAGGGACTTTAAGAAGAACCAATGAAATGTACTGACTGATGCCACAGTTCTGTCCAGACCAGCCCCGAAAACAGACGCAGTAAAATCCACCAATCACATTTTTGCAAGAAAGAGCATTGACACAGGGCTGGCTTTTGCACTCATTAACATCTGTGGATATAGGAAGCACAGGAAGCAGTTTAAAAATAATAATAGTAATAATGCATAAGTTTTATATTGTGTTTTTCAGGACTCTTAAAGACGCTTCACATGCCATCAGCCCCTCTGACCACCACCAACCATTCACACACACAAGCAGAACAAGCCCTTTCTAATCTAAACCACTGGTCCTGATGTGAAGTGGAAGTGTTTTCACGCGCGGATGAGAAGCAGTCATTTGGACGGTTCTGCAGCGTGATGAGGCTCAGGTTTACAAACTGCGGTAACAGGACGCGGCGGCGGCGGATCCGAGGATCGAGTGTCACTACACACAATGGTGAGTCGGCAACAAGCAGCATCATGGAAATATTCAATGACAAACAAGAAGAAGAAGAAGGAGAAGGATGTACAAACTCAGAGAGGCAGAGACAGAGAGAGAGAGACAGAGACAGAGAGAGGTAGAAAGAGAGAGACAGCGAGAGAGAGACACACAGCGAGAGAGACAGGCAGAAAGAGAGAGAGAGAGAGACAGAGAGGTAGAAAGAGAGAGACAGAACGACACACACAGCAAGAGAGAGACAGACAGAGAGAGAGAGACACACACAGAGAGAGAGACAGAGAGAGAGAGAGGCAGATAGAGAGAGACAGACAGAGACAGAGACACAGAGAGAGAGAGAGAGAGAGAGAGAGGCAGAGACAGAGAGAGAGAGACAGAGACAGAGAGAGACAGCGAGAGAGAGACACACAGCGAGAGAGACAGGCAGAAAGAGAGAGAGAGAGACAGAGAGGTAGAAAGAGAGAGACAGATCGACACACACAGCAAGAGAGAGACAGACAGAGACAGAGACACAGAGAGAGAGAGAGAGAGAGAGAGAGCGAGAGACAGAGACAGAGAGAGAGACACACAGGGAGAAAGAGAGACAAGGCCAACGTGTTCTACTGACTAATAACTGTCTGTGTTCATTAAAATACTTCTCCAGTTGGTCTGTATAAAAAATGCTTCACATGTCGTTTTTCATTCACTCCAAACACGGTGGTGATAAACTACTACTGGAGCCACAGCTGCCCTGGGGCACACTGACAGAAGCGAGGCGACTAGTTTGTCATTTCTCTCTGTTGCGTGTTTCTCATCTCTCTCGCCTCGCTCTCTTTCTCGTCTCTCTCTTGTCTGGAGGTTGGGGCCCTGTCCCTCTAGTCTCTCTCGTCTCTCTCTCGTCTGGAGGTGGGGGCCCTGTCTCTCTCTTCTCTCTCGTCTGGAGGTGGGGGCTCTGTCTCTCTCTTCTCTCTCGTCTGGAGGTGGGGGCTCTGTCTCTCGTCTCCCTCTCTCGTCTGGAGGTGGGGGCCCTGTCTCTCGTCTCCCTCTCTCATCTGGAGGTGGGGGCTCTGTCTCTCGTCTCCCTCTCTCGTCTGGAGGTGGGGGCTCTGTCTCTCTCTTCTCTCTCGTCTGGAGGTGGGGGCCCTGTCTCTCGTCTCCCTCTCTCATCTGGAGGTGGGGGCCCTGTCTCTCGTCTCCCTCTCTCATCTGGAGGTGGGGGCCCTGTCTCTCGTCTCCCTCTCTCATCTGGAGGTGGGGGCCCTGTCTCTCGTCTCCCTCTCTCATCTGGAGGTGGGGGCCCTGTCTCTCGTCTCCCTCTCTCATCTGGAGGTGGGGGCCCTGTCTCTCGTCTCCCTCTCTCATCTGGAGGTGGGGGCCCTGTCTCTCGTCTCCCTCTCTCATCTGGAGGTGGGGGCCCTGTCTCTCGTCTCCCTCTCTCATCTGGAGGTGGGGGCCCTGTCTCTCTCTTCTCTCTCGTCTGGAGGTGGGGGCTCTGTCTCTCGTCTCCCTCTCTCATCTGGAGGTGGGGGCCCTGTCTCTCTCTTCTCTCTCGTCTGGAGGTGGGGGCTCTGTCTCTCGTCTCCCTCTCTCGTCTGGAGGTGGGGGCTCTGTCTCTCTCTTCTCTCTCGTCTGGAGGTGGGGGCCCTGTCTCTCTCTTCTCTCTCTCGTCTGGAGGTGGGGGCCCGTGCTGTGAAACCGTAGCCAGTGCGTACATGGTGCAGGTAACGCAGGAGGCCCAGAGCAGCGTAAGCCGACACTGGACTCCGGTAAAAGGACACTGAGCTGCAGATCCCATTCCCCATTCCAACCCCACCCCTGGCACAGACACACACCTACACACACACACACACACACACACACACACACATAACATTTCCTGGACTTTGGTCACGTCCACTCAACGCCAGCTCTGGTGAACTGCTAATAAAAGTTGATCAAAATGCAGCTGCTTCTAGAGTAATGTAAGCTCCAAGGGCAGGCTCGTAAATATGAATGGTCTCTCTCTCTCTTGTCTCTCTCGTCTCGCTCTCTAATCCGTGTCTCGCTCTCTCACTCGTCTCCCGCTCTCTCTCTCTCTCGTGTGTCTCTCTCTCTCCCTCCCTCCTCTCTAGTCTCCAGAGGAAGTCAACTTTGAAACAGAAATCCCCACTTTGCCCCCAAAAAGGCAAAAACCCTAATAGTCCTGATTGAAAGTGGTTTTACTTTTTCTTTTTTAAATCTCCATCCACATAGACTAAAACGTCCAAACACCTTGAGAAGTTAGAGTTTGGTGACTTTGGTCTGTGCTGGAGTCGTCTGCGGTGTTTGCTGATGAATATTGCATGTGTTTGGAGACTCACCGATCTGGCAGGTCTTTCCTTCCCACTGCGGGGGACAAACGCACTCAAAGCCGTCCTCCAGATCGATACACGTCCCGCCCTGAGCACACGGGCTGGACGCACACTCGTCCAGGTCTGAAAATATGTATGTATTTATTTACTATGGACACATGTGGGTTTTCGCAAGGGGTCCCACTTTTCCCCCCACTGTGTTTTTAGAGAGACAGTGGACAGCGGTTGCTCTGGCCTCTCTCTCTCTCTCTGGCCCCTCTCTCTCTGGCCTCTCTCTGGACTCTCTCTCTCTGGCCTCTCTCTCTGGCCTCTCTCTCTGGCCTCTCTCTCTCTCTGGCCTCTCTCTCTGGCCTCTCTCTCTCTCTCTCTGGCCTCTCTCTCTCTGGCCTCTCTCTCTCTCTGGCCTCTCTCTCTCTCTCTGGCCTCTCTCTCTGGCCTCTCTCTCTCTCTGGCCTCTCCCTCTCTCTCTCTCTCTCTGTGGCCTCTCTCTCTCTGGCCTCTCTCTCTCTGGCCTCTCTCTCTCTGGCCTCTCTCTCTCTGGCCTCTCTCTCTCTGGCCTCTCTCTCTCTCTGGCCTCTCTCTCTCTCTCTCTCTGTGGCCTCTCTCTCTCTGGCCTCTCTCTCTCTGGCCTCTCTCTCTCTGGCCTCTCTCTCTCTGGCCTCTCTCTCTGGCCTCTCTCTCTCTCTGTGGCCTCTCCCTCTCTCTCTCTGTGGCCTCTCTCTCTCCCTCTCTCTCTGTGGCCTCTCTCTCTGTGGCCTCTCTCGCTCTGGCCTCTCTCGCTCTGGCCTCTCTCGCTCTGGCCTCTCTCGCTCTGGCCTCTCTCGCTCTGGCCTCTCTCGCTCTGGCCTCTCTCGCTCTGGCCTCTCTCGCTCTGGCCTCTCTCGCTCTGGCCTCTCTCGCTCTGGCCTCTCTCGCTCTGGCCTCTCGCGCTCTGGCCTCTCTCGCTCTCTGGCCTCTCTCGCTCTCCGGCCTCTCTCGCTCTCCGGCCTCTCTCGCTGCTCTAGTCTTTCCCTAACATTTATGGACATTGGTCATCTGCGCCTTATGGACCAATTTTTATTTTTTTAAATCATTGCATTTCTTGTGGTCGAACCGTTTGATTCATCCGTGTTGGTGAATCGACAGCTGTGGAAAGTCCTCAGAGAGAACTCCTGCTGTGATTTTAGTTTGTACAAGAATAAATGGAATTGAAAGACAAGATATTTTCGCACCTTTTAGATGAAGCGCATAGCAAAAGAGAGAGAGAGAGCGGTACTGTACAGACAAATGCAGAGTATGTGTGTGTGCGTCCGTGTGTTAGCGTGTGTGTGTGCGTGTGCGTCCGTGTGTTAGCAGGCAGAAGGTCGTACCGTTAGCGCAGGTGGGCCCGCTCCAGCCGGGGGGACAGTGACACTCGAAGCCCGTCAGAACCTCGTGGCATGTGGCTCCGTTGGCGCAGGGATCAGAGACGCAGGCGTGCTCCACTGAAACAACAGGACAAAGACACTGAGGCTCTCTGCTGCTGTCAGACTGTACGATGAACACTGCAGACACGAATCATCGCACCTTTCAAAACATTATTGCACATCTCTGCAAATCTATGCTCATCTCTTTCAGGCCTTTCTCTAGTCTCTCGTTTTTCTCTCATTCTCGTCCCTCTCCTCTCTCGTCTTTCTCCCTCTACTCTCTCCCTCTTGTCTCTTCTCTCTCCCCCTCGTCTCTCTCCCCTTCTACTCTCTCCCTCCCTCCCTCCCTCTACTCTACCTCTCCCTCCCTCCCTCTACTCTCCCTCTACCTCTACTCTCCCTCTATCTCCCTCCCTCTACTCTCCCTCTCCCTCTCCTCTCCCCCTCCCTGCTCTCCCTCCCCCTCTACTCTCCCCCTCCCTCTACTCTCCCTCCCGTCTCTCCTCCCTCTGGTCTGTGAGTCTGACAGTGAGGATCCTAATGGGAATGATATAATGCAAATGTGTACAGAAGTATAATCTCTCTTCATATGAATGGCATGTATATTACAGGGCTTCGTACCGATCTGGCAGGTCTTCCCAGAGTATCCCTGAGGGCAGGCGCAGTAATACTCGTCTGGTTCCGTGTTCATGCAGGTTCCACCGTTCACACACGGCTGATGGCGGCCGCAGTAGTTCAGATCTACAGGAACAGAGATGAGTCAGTGCAGGGCAGGAGGAGACCAGCAACATGTGACCATTCCATAGTATCACCATATTTGGCCTCTCTACCCCTCTGGCCTCACTATCTCTCTCTCTAGACTCACTCTCTCTCTCTCTCTCTGGCCTCTCTCTCTCTCTCTCTCTCTGGCCTCACTCTCACTCTCTGGTCTCACTCTCTCTCTCTGGGCCTCACTCTCACTCTCTGGGCCTCACTCTCACTCTCTGGGCCTCACTCACTCACTCTCTCTGGGCCTCACTCACTCTCTCTGGGCCTACACTTCGAGCCTCACATCTCCGCCTCCCCAATCAATACCCGACTCTGTCCCCTAATACATAGCCTCCTCCCTACTCCAACCATCTGCTTCGCCCTCCCTCACCTCTCCGTAACAGACCCCTCTTACAATTCCCCTCCAACAGCCCAGCCCATCCACACATCACAATCACCACTCAAAATCCTGCACTACGACATAACATTCATCTTCTTAAACTACACCTAATACACCCCTAACCCAAACTAGGTCACAGCCTGTGTGGTCTCCGCACTGCACCCCATTCACGTTAACCTTACAAAACTCACAACCGACTAAGGCCAACTAGACCTAGCAAACAACATAAAGAAGTATGACTGAAGATCAGTTCAACCTCAACGAAACCCTAAATTATAACAAAGCGGACCCGATTGAGTCCTCTAAAAAACAACGAGGCAGAATCACCACGGTTTGATTGCGATTAAAATATAAAATTCTATAGTATTAGCTCGTCTCCGCCTCCCCCGCACTCCATGTCCCCACCCTCACCGTTCCCCCCTCGCGCCTCCTTCTCAAGACTAGCACCTCCTTACTAATACCGTTCCCCATCCTCCCCCAGCACCCTGCCCTCAAACACATTTACACAACCCTATAAAAAAAAGCCTATGCACAAGCATGTGTGGTAGAGTCGGACGATCGCGGAAAAGATAGGGACCTGCCTCAGGCTGGACACTGAATGCACAGACGGCCTCCTGCGGGACACGAGGAGCACAGGGACTGGCCTCCTGCTGTACACTGAGGAGCACAGACTGGCCCACCTGCTAGGACTCGGTAGGTGAACTGGGACTGAAGACTGCTGATCTAAATGGAGTGATAGGCACAGGGGGACGGGCAAGACACCAGAGAATGTGTATGGGTCGGGTACTGAACTTGTCTTGTTATGGAGGGGGGGGTGAGGAATGTAGTTGATTATTTATAACTGAACATACTGCTGTACATGTAACTATGAGCTGATGAATTTGAGGACTGTTAAGTGTTATATACTTTTATCAACAGGTATTCTACCAGACGCATACAGATGGGACGTGGGGTTCATGTGATTGTATGGTTGGTGTAGTCTGACATTTGACGGACCAAAAGTTATTTAGATGGAGTGTGTGTGATTAGATCTCAACATGACGTGTTCTGATTTAATTATATCTGTGGTGTTATACTAACGATGAATGTGTAGTGGTGTATATTCGAGTGCTAGAGAAGTGAAATACCAACTTCGGGTAGAATGACCACAAGACGCAGAGAGTCAGAGAGCACCAAAATTCGACACCAAGTAGCGACAAAGTCAAATTGACAGTTTTTTGTTTGTGGGGGGGGGGGGGGGGGGGGGGGGGGGGGGGGGGGGGGTGGGGGGGGGGGGGTGGCGAGAGAGGAGTAGCAGTGTGTGCGAGAGAAACATATTTCTGAGAGCCACAACAGAGCGAGAGAGATCTTTAGAGACATCAGAGCGATATTGTTGCAGGTACGATCAGAGGCCAATCTAACTCTCCTCAGCGGAATCGAGTAGACGAGTCCTCTCCTTGTCTCCCGCCTCATCCCTCTCTCTCCCTCCCCTCTCCTATCCCCGCCCACCCAGCTTGTCTGGCGAGTCCCTCCCCCCCCCTCTCTCTCCCCTCTCTCTCTCCTCCCTCTCTCTTCGCTCCTCTCTCCCTCCCCCTCTCCTCTCCTCCTCAGTCGCTCTCTCCCTCGCCCTCGCTCTCCTCTCTCCACTCATCCTTCCTATCCCCCCCCCTCTCTCTCGCCCCCCCCTCTCTCCTCCGCGCCCCTCGCCTCTCCCTAAGCTCCTCACAACCCTCTCTCTCTTCACTTCACTCCCCTCTTCTCCCAACTCCTCCCCCCTCTCTCTCCCCTCTCCGCTCCCCTCTCTCGCTCACTCTCGTCCGCTCTCCCTAGATCACATCCCCTCCTCGCCCTCTCTCTCCTCTCTCTTTCCTACCCTCTCTCTCTCCTCCTCTCCTCGACTCCCCCTCTCTCCTCCTCTCTCTCCTCACCTCCTCTCTCCTCTCTCCCTTCTCCCTCTCCTCCTCACTCTCTCTTCTCTCCCCTCCTTCTCTCCTCTCCACTCCCCCTCTCTCTCCCCTCAGCTCCCCTCTCGCCTCCTCTCTCGCTCCCCTCTCGCCCCCTCTCTCTCCTCTCTCTCCCCTCTCTCTCCTCTCTCTCTCACTCTCCTCCCTCTCTCTCCTCTCTCTCTCCTCTCTCTCCCCTCTCCTCTCTCCTCTCTCTCCCCCTCTCCCTCTCTCTCCCTTCTCTATCCCCTTCCTCCTCCCATCTCTCTTCCCCTCCTCTCTCCTCCTCTCTCCTCTCTCTCTCCTCTCTCCTCTCTCTCTCCTCTCTCTCTCTTCTTCTATCTCCCCTCGCCTCTCCCTCTCCCCTCTCTCCCCCTCTCTCTCCCCTCTCTCTCCCCTCTCTCTCCTCTCTCTCCCCTCTCTCTCCCCTCTCTCTCCCCTCTCTCTACCTCTCCTATCCTCTCTCTCTCTTCTCTATCCCCTCTCTCTCTCCCCCCTCTCTCTCCCCTCTCTCTCCCCTCTCTCTCCCCTCTCTCTCCCCTCTCTCTCCTCTCTCTCCCCTCTCTTGTCCTGGCACGCGTCTGTTGGCAAAAGCACAGAAGCGACGCCCCGCCATCAACCAATCACATCTCAATTAGAGCCTGCTGATTTCAACTTGTTCACATCACTGATTATGATGTCGACGAGTGGCTGTAGACCCAGGACTGAGGCTGTGTAGACCCAGGACTGAGGCTGTGTAGACCCAGGACTGAGGCTGTGTAGACCCAGGACTGAGGCTGTGTAGACCCGGACTGAGGCAGTGTAGACCCGCGGACTGAGGCTGTGTAGACCCGGGACTGAGGCTTGTGTAGACCCGGGACTGAGGCTGTGTAGACCCGGACTGAGGCGTGTAGACCCGGGACTGAGGCTGTGTAGACCCAGGACTGAGGCTGTGTAGACCCAGGACTGAGGCTGTGTAGACCCAGGACTGAGGCTGTGTAGACCCAGGACTGAGGCTGTGTAGACCCAGGACTGAGGCTGTGTAGACCCTGGACTGAGGCTCGTGTAGACCCGGGACTGAGGCTGTGTAGACCCGGGACTGAGGCAGTGTAGACCCGGACTGAGGCTGTGTAGACCCGGGGGGGGAAGGGGGACTGAGGCTGTGTAGACCCAGGACTGAGGCTGTGTAGACCCAGGACTGAGGCATGTGTAGACCCCAGGACTGAGGCGTGTGTAGACCCGGGACTGAGGCTGTGTAGACCCAGGACTGAGGCTGTGTGTAGACCGGGACTGAGGCTGTGTAGACCCGGGACTGAGGCTGTGTAGACCCAGGACTGAGGCTGTTGTAGACCCGGGACTGAGGCTGTTGTAGACCGGGGACTGAGGCTGTGTAGACCCCGGACTGAGGCTGTGTAGACCCGGGACTGAGGCTGTGTAGACCCCGGACTGAGGCTGTGTAGACCCGGGACTGAGGCTGTGTAGACCCCGGGACTGAGGCTGTGTAGACCCGGGACTGAGGCTGTGTAGACCCGGGACTGAGGCTGTGTAGACCCAGGACTGAGGCTGTCTAGACCCAGGACTGAGGCGTTTTCCTCCTGGTGCTCCGGTTTCCCCTACCTCTATAAACATAAAGACTTACTTACTTTTACCTTTTTATTTAAACAGGTAAATCCCACTGAGATTTCAGAGTCCGTCTTAGTGGAGTCCTGGCCCCAGAGAGAGCTATTGTAAACCTGTTTTTAGTGGTGGGGAAACCGTAGCACCTGGAGGAAGCCTACACAGACACAGGGAGAACATGCAAACTCCACCCACTCAGAGGTGGAGGTGAACCCGGCAGCTGCTAACCACTCAGCCACCCTGCCATCTATTTGCAAGACGAGGAGAATAAGTTCACTTGGTTACCACGAGGATGAAGTTCGAGAAATAGTAGTTTTTAGTAAAGTTTAGTTTAAGTATTTTTGTTTTGTTTGGAGAGATCCTGCGGTGGTGAAAAGATTGCGGACGCCTCGTGTTCTGCTCGCGGCCTGGACTTGTTAAAAATGATGAGATCTGTCATAGCACGCTCTCCTGGCTGCAACGCTAAAACAACAATCCAAATGTTTTATGGAGAGTGTGAAAGTATTTACCTCAAAGATCTGATAAAGAAGGTGACCAGAGAGAGAGGGAGACCAGAGAGGGAGACCAGAGAGAGAGAGGGAGACCAGAGAGAGAGAGGGAGACCAGAGAGAGAGAGGGAGACCAGAGAGAGAAGAGGGGAGACCAGAGAGAGAGAGGGACGATGGACCAGGAGAGAGAGAGAGGGATGGACCAGAGAGAGAGAGAGGGAGACCAGAGAGAGAGAGGGAGACCAAGAGAGAGTGAGAGGGAGACCAGAGAGAGGAGAGGGAGACCAGAGAGCGAGAGAGAGGGAGACCAGAGAGAGAAGAGAGGGAGACCAGAGAGGAGAGGGAGAGGAGAGAGAGAGAGGGAGACCAGAGAGAGAGAGGGAGACCAGAGAGGAGAGGAGGGAGACCAGAGAGAGAGAGGAGATAGGAGACCAGAGAGAGAGAGGGAGACAGAGAGATGAGAGGGAGGACCAAGAGCGGGAGAGGGAGACCAGAGAGAGAGAGGGAGACCAGAGAGAGAGAGGGAGACCAGAGAGAGAGAGAGGAGACCAGAGAGAGGAGAGGGAGACAGAGAGAGAGAGTGAGACCAGAGAGAGAGAGAGAGGGAGGACCAGAGAGAGAGAGAGGAGACCAGAGAGAGGAGAGTGGAGAGGAGGAGACCAGAGAGAGAGAGAGACCAGAGAGAGAGGGAGACCAGAGAGAGAGGGAGACCACGAGAGAGAGAGGGAGACCAGAGAGAGAGGGAAGAGAGACCAGAGAGAGTGAGAGAGGGAGAGACCAGAGAGAGAGAGGGAGACCAGAGAGAGAGAGGAGGACGAGACAGAGGAGGGAGAGAGGGAGACCGAGGACGAGGGAGACCAGAGAGAGAGAGAGGGAGTAACCAGAGAGAGAGAGAGGGAGACCAGAGAGAGGAGAGGAGACAGAGAGAGAGAGAGGGAGACCAGAGAGAGAGAGAGGGGAGGACCAGAGGTGGAGAGAGAGGAGACCGGAGAGAGGGGAGACCAGAGAGAGAGAGGAGGGAGACCGTGAGAGAGAGAGAGCCGCGAGACCAGGAGAGAGAGAGGAGAGAGAGGAGACCAGAGAGAGAGAGCGGGAGACCAGAGAGAGAAGAGAGGGAGACCAGAGAGAGAGAGACCAGAGAGGAGAGAGAGGGAGACCAGAGAGAGAGAGAGGGAGACCAGAGAGAGAGAGAGGGAGACCAGAGAGAGAGAGAGGGAGACCAGAGAGAGAGAGGGAGAGGGAGACCAGAGAGAGAGAGAGGGAGACCAGAGAGAGAGAGAGGGAGAGAGAGACCAGGTCTATATATTTAATCATAAAAGTAAAAAGTTGTGCCTGAACTTGGTCCAAATCTCCATCAAACACCTGTGAAGAACTGATGTGGCATCGCTCTGTTCAAAGCCTCTCATGATCGACACAGATACTTTATTGATCCCAGCAGGAGAAACCCATCCATCCGTACAAACAT